GCGTAGCACGTGGCTCGATTGCTTTAACGACCGTTTGTACGCGCGCGCGTTCGTTCACGCACGCTGCGTCTCACGAAAGCCTCCAATCCGCTTGATACTCGTTCGTCCGATGAATAATCTCGTTTTTCGAACACCAGGAATTACGTTACGTAACGCGGACACCTTGTAACATTCCGCTGACGTTGAAGAACGTTACCCGCTGAAAATTCTATCGAGGAATAATTTTACGTCCGACAAATTCCCTCTGTATCGTAGGTAGATCATTTTCGAATCGAACGAATCGAACGCGATAGCGCCTCCGAGTTATAAATCTCTATCGCGATTAATTGAAAACGAAACGTATTGTTCGCGATGTAGCTGTTTGGCGAATCGTCGGATATCGAAACCGGTGATTCTATAAATACCTGTTCATAAATCTCGCGGGCCCGGCGGTCCGTAATAATTAGGAGAAACGAGTAGACAAAAGCAGGAATAATTCTATCGGCAGAACAGGGTAGGAAGCTCATAAATTCGCCGGTTAGAAAGGAAGCCGAACGAGGTCGAGCCTCTGGAAAGCTCTTCCCTAAAGAAGGAATCGCGTTAATTATAATTGCAGCGTTGTAACCGCGTTTATTTTGGTCGTTCCCGCGAGCTGCAGCGAAAGAAGAAGAAGGCAAAGTACGGCACGGAGAAGAAGGTGCTAAACGGACGGCACCCAGAGAAACGGGACAGGAGAATGGCGACCATAACGTAATTTTGACAGAAATAACGTCGCCGTGTTCGCCGAGAGACAATAAGTTCGCGACACTCTCTCTTGCCGGGGATCTTAGAATAGTTTAGTGTTCGCTTCGTCTCTGGCTCTCTCGTTCGTCACGGACTTTTCCGTCCTTCTTCCATGTTCCACCTTCAACCACGACTTTCCCGCTTCATCTGCTCGCTTTTGCTGACCCTCTTGGCGCCACGATTTTCATGGTTGCGACCAGATTAACGATTACACCGTATACGGTCGCTGGAGAATCTTACGTTCGAAGAACTCGCCGCGTTTAATCTTAACAGAAGCTGGAAAGTTCTCGGTATCGTTTTTAATCGAAATAAAACAATCTCTTAGTCGACGCTTTTTCGCGACCGGATGAAAAGAGTGGTCGTTAGTTGGAAAATTAGCGATTTTGCGATTCCGGATGATCCGGTTTAAGCGAACCGGGAATGGTCGTATCGTTGCGTAATATTCGGTTATGACTATTAATCTATCCTCCGGTGCAGTAATTATGCAACGCAGCTGCGTGTTTTGTGTCGCTCGTTAGAATCACCTTCCGACCAGCCATGGGCCGCGTAAATTTACGATCATTTTCCTGGCGATATCGCTCGTTACGAGGGCCCGCTTTGGAGGGTCAAGGTTCTCCTCGATCGAGACGTTATTAATCGCGAACGAACGAAACGTCGAAAGCTACGTCTCGACAGGGCGCGATTCTTCTTTCGTATCCGAGAACGTCAGACATTTTGTTGACGCCTAATTATGCGGCTCGCATCGCAGGAAGCGTGCCAAAACGGTGGCGGCAAGAGCGTCGAACGGAACCTGGCCTTGGTTCTCGTTAAAAGATACAATGATGCATATTTCCGGCAAATTGCACGCCGTCGATTACTCTCGACAGCCTCGCCGAAATCCTGCTATTCTTAATTCCACGTGTTTCGATCGATCTCTCGAGCGGACGTCGGATAAAGAAGAAATACCACCCACGTCGTAAAACGAACGGAGGATACGAGAAACGTGACAAAAGTCGGGGGGACAAATCTTAAAAATATGAGAAATTCACGGGACGACACGCACCAGGACCCCCTCTCCTTCGTTCCCCAGCCCTCTGTGCACGGCTTTCAAGCCGAACCCTTTTATTCGTAGTTCTTGAAACTGGCACGTTGGAGGGAGAGGTTGATCCGGCTGCGGATGAAAACCTGGGTTTCGCTCGGGGAGTTTAAAATTTTCAAAAAGCCCGATCCTGAAAAGGAGCTCCCGTTCCTTTTTTTATCATTTAATCCGTGCGGGCCTTAACCGAATAACCCTTTATACGCGTGGCTGTGTGCGCTCGGCGAAATCCTTCAGCGAGCACGATCTTCACGCAACTTTTTTCATTCGTTGATAGTTAGCCGAACTTTGCTTATCTTGTAGACATAATCGAAGTTGAAGAGTTTCGCAAGGCAAAATAATTATAGCGTGGCGTACAGGACCGTTCATACTCGAGGTCGATAAAGAAATATATAAATTTCAGTAACAATGACTTATGGCAACAAAAGCAACGCCAAACGTCATCGATTCGAACAATCTACGCACGAATAATTAACCACGAGTCGTTCAGGTTTTGTGTCGCTCGTTAGAATCACCTTCCGACCAGCCATGGGCCGCGTAAATTTACGATCATTTTCCTGGCGATATCGCTCGTTACGAGGGCCCGCTTTGGAGGGTCAAGGTTCTCCTCGATCGAGACGTTATTAATCGCGAACGAACGAAACGTCGAAAGCTACGTCTCGACAGGGCGCGATTCTTCTTTCGTATCCGAGAACGTCAGACATTTTGTTGACGCCTAATTATGCGGCTCGCATCGCAGGAAGCGTGCCAAAACGGTGGCGGCAAGAGCGTCGAACGGAACCTGGCCTTGGTTCTCGTTAAAAGATACAATGATGCATATTTCCGGCAAATTGCACGCCGTCGATTACTCTCGACAGCCTCGCCGAAATCCTGCTATTCTTAATTCCACGTGTTTCGATCGATCTCTCGAGCGGACGTCGGATAAAGAAGAAATACCACCCACGTCGTAAAACGAACGGAGGATACGAGAAACGTGACAAAAGTCGGGGGGACAAATCTTAAAAATATGAGAAATTCACGGGACGACACGCACCAGGACCCCCTCTCCTTCGTTCCCCAGCCCTCTGTGCACGGCTTTCAAGCCGAACCCTTTTATTCGTAGTTCTTGAAACTGGCACGTTGGAGGGAGAGGTTGATCCGGCTGCGGATGAAAACCTGGGTTTCGCTCGGGGAGTTTAAAATTTTCAAAAAGCCCGATCCTGAAAAGGAGCTCCCGTTCCTTTTTTTATCATTTAATCCGTGCGGGCCTTAACCGAATAACCCTTTATACGCGTGGCTGTGTGCGCTCGGCGAAATCCTTCAGCGAGCACGATCTTCACGCAACTTTTTTCATTCGTTGATAGTTAGCCGAACTTTGCTTATCTTGTAGACATAATCGAAGTTGAAGAGTTTCGCAAGGCAAAATAATTATAGCGTGGCGTACAGGACCGTTCATACTCGAGGTCGATAAAGAAATATATAAATTTCAGTAACAATGACTTATGGCAACAAAAGCAACGCCAAACGTCATCGATTCGAACAATCTACGCACGAATAATTAACCACGAGTCGTTCAGCAGGGTAAAATGGGACCTAACCTATAAAAATCGCGTGTTTGGATAATGCATCGAGTGGCCGCTGCGTCGCAGTCTGTTCGCCGCGCAGTCACCGAGGGTCCATTGAACCTTTTCCTTCCTTTTTTCTCTCCCTCAAGAGGGCCTAAATACCGACAAAAAAATTCCCAACGGGCAGCCACCCCTCTTTTCTCGACCTCTTTACCCCCTTTTTTCGACGGCCCTCGTCACAACATTGTTTCCGGAAAAACGGCTCCGACTAAACGAGTAACCGGCCAGATGCGATTTAATGAGCCAGAATAGAGACGTTGCCTCGATTTCACGGGCTTCTGGGGAGGAAACGCGATCGAACGGAATATTTTTATGTCGATCCTCCACTTTATTTTAACCCTTTCGCTTCGCGTTAGAAACTTTAAGAAATGCAAACGATAAGATTATTATCGAAGCGATTCGAATACGCTTGTCAGAATGAACGCATAAAATTTTGATAGGGCGGATCGAAAGGTTTCGTACAACTCGGAACATAATACATTGGAAGCATAATGGCTGTTTCTCCCTCGCAACCTTTACCATTTCGTCTTTTCCTTTGGTCGTTCGTTTTTGTTTCGTTTCTCCGCCGCGAGAGAACCCTTCTTCTCTTTCGCGTACACACGTGCGCATAAAACTTCGCCGGTACCTATCCCCTCCAGACTCGGCCAAGGGGGAACCCCTAAGAGAAATATTCGACAATTTTTAAACTCGTTTCTGAACGCATTCAAACGTGCACAGTCGACAAGTAGGAATTTCTTGGAATCAACCGGAGCCCTTGGGTAGGGCGTACACCAAACGTGGAACGTGGTTTCCGGCCACCGAGGATGGGGGTATGCTATATATTTCCTCGCTCCAATATTTCGCGACTGTGCGCCAATTTTCTTCCTGCAAACGCCTTTCTATGACGGAATCGATCGCTATCATTGTAGAGCTCTTAGGAAACTTGGCTTTTCTCAAAAATAGACTTTTAGATAATAACGAACGAGGGAACGAGTTCCCATTATGATATGTTAGTTTTCTTTTTCCGATCGGTTTATTTCCACAATGGAATTCCCTCTTTGTTCCGACTTTAAAATGCATCGTAGGTAACCAGTTTTTCAAGTGTCCAAAAGCGCTCGGGTCGACGAACGGTGAACTCATAAGTCTCGATGCGTCTACGTATCGGGTAATTGTTCTAGCGAAAGTGTCGTTGAACTTGCTCTACAGCGGATAAAGTCGTTCGCGAAATCCTACAGAGTTCTTCTCGTCTGTAGGTTACTTCCTTACCAACCTTCGTTCCATTTAAATGGTAGAGAGTTCCTTTATCGATCATCGAGAAAATCGTCGTCTACGTTATCGACCCGATTCGCTTCCATTCTATCGTACCGAAATTGTTAAATTTTTATTATAACTTTATCCATTATCGTTCACGATTAACCTTCTGACGGCGGATCATCGAGACATCGATTGAAACATTTGTTTAATTTCCGGGATTTTTCAGCGTCGTATCGACCCTTAGGTTGGCGATCGATCCGGCTCCGTCGTTCGAGGGTTAAAAACGAGGGAACTCGCGTCAACTTCTTTTTGGTTTCTGATTTCAGCGTTACTGAGACAAAGCATGTCTCCGGTTGCGGACACCTTGATCGGTAGCTCGAAAAGCTCCGTGTCGCAGCCGATAATCGATTACTCCCGATACGTGAGGAGGTACTCGTCGGGTCAAGAATGCGGTAGCTCGTATTGTAAGGAGCTCGGTTGCAGAGAGCATTTTCACTGTTTGGACTGCAGTGGTAGGGTGTTTGTGAAAAAGGAAGAAATGATAAGGCATTTCAAGTGGCACAAAAAGAGAGACGAATCTTTACAGCACGGCTTCATGAGGTACTCGCCGACGGACGATTGCTCGGAGAGGCATCCGAGTCGTGCCTGTCCGCACAATAGAAAACAGACTCACTACCACTGTATCCATGAGAATTGCGATAAGGTTTACATATCGACGTCGGACGTGCAGATGCACGCGAATTATCATCGCAAGGATTCGGCGATCATTCAGGAAGGTTTCCAGAGATTTCGCGCGACCGAGAGCTGCGCTACCGATCACTGTCCCTTCGCCGGTCAACGGACCACGCACTTCCATTGTCGGCGACCTGGTTGCCGATTCACCTTCAAGAACAAGGCTGACATGGGTAAAGAGACGCTTGCGTACTTCCGCGTAGAAATTCTGCCGCTACTCTATTCCGCTTAACGTAAATCACAAAATCGAAACGATTAGCTTTGTTCCGCGCGAGCGCGAGTACACCTAAGGTTCGACTTAGACGGCGAAACGCGTGTCCGGCTTGTTCACTCACGCGTTTCTTTCGCGGCTTCTTTTTCCAGACAAGCACAAGTCGTATCATATCAAGGACGAGCAGTTGTCCCGGGACGGATTCAAGAAGTTCATGAAGTCCGAGGCGTGTCCGTTCGAGCAGTGTCGTTTCTCTCGGGTATGCAATCACATTCACTGCATACGACCGCATTGTAGCTACGTTCTTCATTCTTCCGGTCAGCTGTTCTCCCACAAACGGAAACACGAGCGACACGAGACCGAGCTGGCTTACAGAAAGTACAAACAGATCAGCGCGGTAGGTGGTATACGACCTTCCGGTTCTTGGCCACCGGACGACGTCGGAGCACAGAACCTGTCTCTGTGTCTGAACGGCGAAAGCTCCAACGAGGACAGAGGCTCCCCGTCTTACTACTCGTTCGACGATTCCTTCCAAAGCGGAAGCGACCTCGCGATGGACCTAACCGCGCCAACGACCACGGTCACCGCCAGCGGAAGTTCCACGGTAACCGTCGACCCTCCACCGCAGCAGCACCACCATCAACAACTGCAACCTCAGCAGCAGCAGCAGCAGCAGCAACAACAGCAACAACAGCAGCAGCAACAGCAGCAAAGTCAACAGCTCACCGCCACAGAATTAGCATATCTGGTACCCGCGACGGGTGATTGCCCTTGTCATCTGGGCAGGGATCATCATCACTGCGGTCTGGATCGTTGCGGGACGGCGTTGAAGGACCCTCGCGAAGTCAGGGAGCATTTGAGAGAGCACGAGACTCAGGAACGCATCACGGACGCCTTCTTCGAAGAGGGTGGCTGCGACGACAGTTGTCCGTACGCCGACAAAGAGAAACACTATCATTGCAATTGGGAGAATTGCCGCGAGGTGATCCTCTCGACGGACAAACCCTTCCGTCGTCTTCAACATTACAAGATTCACGAGTACAGTAGGCAATTAAACCTCTCGTGTTCCTCTCACGCCCTGTCCTCCGACGTGACGTTGACTCACCTGACCAACATCGACGCCATGTTCAGGCGGAAGAGAGGCAGGCCTCCGAAAAACCGAGTGATAGAGATCTGGTCGGGCGGTGACCCAGCCACGCACACTCACGATTCCCCGCAGGCGATCTTCACCAGCTTCAAACTACCGAAACCTCAGACGCCGAATCTGACGCTGAATCCGATGACCGAGGACCGGGAGGGAAGCGTGTCGCCGTCGAACAGTCTCGGCGAACCCGACGGGTTCTCGACCTATAATCCTGATGGATGCCCGGATCCGGCTTGCGTCCTCAGATCCACCAGGCATCATCATTGTTCGCAGCCAAGGTGTCACTTCTCTACCGATAGACCCGATCAATTGCTGATGCACAGCAAAGACTTTCACGATAACGTCGACATACCGGCGGGCTTTGCCTTCTTCGATAAGATGGTAGATTGTCGACTGGCCGGTTGTCACAGTAATCGCGTTAATCGGCATTTCCACTGTACCAGACCGAACTGCGGCTACTCGTTCGTCAGATACTCGACCATGGCGATGCACGAGAAACAGCACGCTGGTCACGGAGACGTCGGGGGCCAGGAGTCCTCTAACCAGGAGTGTCAGACGCAAATTCAGCCGATGATACAGGAAAGCAAGCCGAGGATTCAAGTGAAGAATCCGGCCGAACTGATCGAGAAACCGGAAGACGCCAACAGCTTGACCGTCGCGGGGGACGTAGAGAATAGACCGATACTGGAGGAGAAGGACGCGGAGATGTCCAGTCCGGACGGCAACAAGACTACCGGTAAGCTCGTATCTTCCGTGGACACGAACCAGTGCACCTGTACAGTATTCTATAGGTTTTGTTTGGTAGTTACTTGAGATGTTACGAACACGTCACTCAATCGATGCATGTTTTTTTTTTTGCACGTACACGCACCTCGATCGTATATCGCAACGCATCGGCACCGATCCCCGATCCTTTCGACGCGTTTCATCGAAAGGGCTCGTCGAAAGGACGGGGATCGTTCTCTTTTTTTTTCTTTGTTACGGTTTGTACATTTTGTTCTTTGCGTTTGATGTATCTATTGTACAAGGTGGTTGTAATCATAGTGGGTATATTTGAAGTGTTGGTTGTTTGGTTGATTGTTGCTAGTGGTGAGGGCGGCAGGCACCTATTATCCGGTCAGCGGACCGCCAAGTGAACCCGCACTTCCGGGCGTCGTGCTATCCATGCGAACTTCCGTGCACCAAGGTTCGTGTCTCTTTCGACGACCAAATTTTCTTGCCTCGAAATGTGTTCTCTTTGGTTATTAGTCGTCGAACTCGTCGCCGTTCGCGTCCACCCGTTTACCCCTTCGCACGGTCGTACTCAAAACGAATGTTTCGCTTGCAGAATCTCCGGTTCTTCCGTCCACCAGTTCGGCCTCGCCGCACACGCTCTACGGACCCGAGCAAAGCTGCAGCAGGCCATTTTGTAAACTGAAACGCAAGAACCATTATCACTGTAACGCGTGCAATCAAGCGTTCTCCGAATTGGATCGACTGGTGGCTCACATAGCCAAACACTCGACAGGTGCCATTCTTAGTCAACAGCAACACGAGCTGGCTAGTCAGCCCCCCAATCAGCTGCAGCACGACTATCTGGCGCAGTTGTCGCAGAAGCACGACTTCATGGCGCAGAACGCTCAAATGGCGCAGAACATTCAGAACTTCCAAAACCAGATGCAACGGCAGATGCAGCAGACTTTGGGTCAGATGAGTCAACAGAGCCAGCCGAAGGAGGTGAAAATGGAACCGGCGAGGTGCGGTACCGACGTTGCCGTGCAGAACGTTCCTAACGTGAAGCGGGAACCCGCCGAATTGACCAGGGACGAGGGCAACAATTCGGTGATGGACAACAACGAAAACGGTCAATTGTCTCAACCGAGCATGCCACCGAACGTTCAACAATCTCCGGTCCCCACCAGCTTCGAGCTGGATCTCAGCCACGGATTTCATTTCCCTAGCCCAGCCGTAATGGCTGCTATGAATCAGCAGATTGCCCTAATGAATCAAGCCCTACCACCGTTCCTTCAACATGGCGGCATGTACACGGGCGGGCCAGGGCTGATGTTCGCTCCCGGTCTACCTCCGACCAACTTTCTACCTCCTGGCAGAGACGAGAACCCTTTGGCCTCTCTGGCGGCGAACCTGAACCTGAGCAAGAGGTCCTTGTCTCCGCCGGACAGCAACTCGCCCGAAGCGAAGAAACAGAGGCTGCATCACTCTATGCGCATGCTCAAGGACGAGCCTGTACCCGAGGGATACGTCAGGTTCGCCTTATTTTTTTTATATTTTTGGAACTCGGGTTATCCTTATTTCAGTGCGTTCTATATAAACTATCTCCTCGATGTTTCAGGTTCAGATTCAACGAGGACTGCAGGTACCCTCACTGCGGTTACAGGGAACATCAAACTCACTTCCACTGCATGCGACAAGACTGTGGCTACTCGTTCTGCGACAAGACACGTTTCGTCCAGCACACGGCGAGACACGAGCGACTGGACACCCTGATGGGCGGCGATTTCCAGCAATACAGGGCGAACGTGCCTTGCGGTCGAGCTCAGTGCGCGTACACGTCGTCGTTGGGTTCGATGCAGAACAAAGCGTCGCACTTTCATTGTTTGAAGTGCGACTTCGTGTGCACGGACACGAACAAGGTGGTCGCTCACAGGCGACAACACGCGAAATTGGACAATATCGCGGCGGCAGGCTTTCAAAAGTTCACTCCCAGCCAACCTTGCGGTGGCGTTCAGTGCCAGCATTCCGGCAAACAGACGCATTATCATTGTCTTCAGTGCCAGTACGCCGTGCTGGGTTTGGCGCAAATGTCCGCCCACAAGTATCGACACATGGACACATAACGGCGTCTAGACGAGTTGGAGGATATTCGTAAAAGAGGCAATTGACTCTGGTCCCCTTGTAGACATTCCCCGAAGGATTCAGACGTCCTCTCGGCCCTACATCGACGAACAGGTCCAAAGAAGAGGAATCAGCCGGGTGCTGTATCGACGAATCAAGATCCCGCGGATGAAACCCGATCAAGGACTGACCACACGATAAAAGACAATTTCGTCGATGCTCCCTCTGTATAGACACATTCCCTGACGGAATTGCTAGGCGATCGCCGATGGACTGCTGACGCGTACGTTTCTACGAGCTCGATGATTAGGAACAGGCCTAGTCATTAATCTTCAGCCGTTCTCGACCAGAAGGAATCGATAGCTTGCCCGGTGTTCTCGTACGGGCCGAAACAACGACGATATCGATCGACGCATCGATGACTTCGTACTTACGAGAGAAACAGAGAGATATTTATTAGATTCTATCGACGATTGATCTCGGAGGATCGAAAACTCGAAAGAGAGAGAACGTTGCGATCGTTTTCGAATCGTTTAATCGATAATCGAAGCGAGAGCAAAAGAAGGACGAACTTTGCATAGAATCGTAGACAATAAAACACGGACGACGAGTCTATCGTATAGCTTTAGCGCGAAGATAAAAGACAAACTATAATATTTAATAGAAAAAAAGACCTTGTACATTTCGTTTTCCTCTTTTCCCTCGTCCTCTTCATTTTTCGTTTGTTTTTTTTTTTTGTTTTTAATATCGTTCGTGTACCCTCCGCGTGGTGCAAAAGTAGTCGCGACGACTTAGATCCTAGACTAGATAGTTAATATATTATGTACAGAGGAGAAAAAGAACTGACACGAGAGAGAAGAAGATCGAACGAGAAATCGATCCGATCGAGAGAACAATAAAACTTTTTGCTATAAACGAGTCCTGTAGATGAGATCGAGTCATCACCAGCAAGCAAAGGCGAGTCGAAAAGAGAAGATAATCGTGCTTACGTGTGACAGCGTGTCTAGTCCATCGCACCATCGATGAAGGTATACTACGATACGGTATCGTAACGACAAATTGATTTCGGATCGATTCCTGGTCAACCATCGACCCATCGACGGTGCAATGATTTTTCTACGATCATCCATTACTTGTTTTTCGTTCTTCAATCGTTATTTCCCTCCCTCTCTTTCTCTCTCTCTCTCTCTTTCTCGGGCTCACAGAGAGTTCACCGATTAGACGCATCGTAACGAATCGTACTAAAGATTTATACGCTTTCAAGGAGGGTACGCGTTTATTCGTTAATCGTATTTACGGAACAGTATTGATTAAATAAAACCGAGAGTTTACAAAAAAGACTGCCATCCGAGAGAAGACAGAACATTTCGCTTTCGGGCAACCGTTGCTTGCTGGAAGGAACTTTGTGAAATTGAAAAGGAGTACACGTGATCGAAACAAGAGATCGACCGATGGATGAAACCTCGATATCATTCGCCTTTCGTCCTGCGCCGAGTACGGACCATCGCGGAGAAATATCGAGGCTTTACCGTATGCGTCACGAACGATAGGGTTGACGGCGATACCATTTTGTATCTTTTTATTTCCTCGCGACCAGAGAGTGCTCGTAAATTCTTTTTCGAACTACTTAACTTGGAAGTTTAGGTCGCTACCGGTTTCGATAAATTGGCAATAATTTTCTCGATCGTAAAAATCTTTGACACTCCCCTGCGAGATGGGACGACTAAACGAATAAGAAAAGACAGTAACGTTGTATTTTTTCGACGATTACGATTAACCACGTAGCTGTTTAGAGTATTAGATGCGTGCGTGAGTGTGTTGGGTGACGCGCTAGGGTGCCTTCAGAGTTTCTCCCCGAACTTGTAGGACCGTGCCTTAGCAACGATAATAAAATTAGTAACTAACTAAACAAATACGATACAACGTGAACGCGATCGTAGGATGTTAGTGCCTTAACGGAGCCCATGTAGTTGGAACAGAGCGAACAAACGACGTTTCGTTTTCTTCAAATTTAATATTAGAAAGAGATGTGCGAACGTATCTTAGATTTCTTCGAACACTATCAAGGGGTAGAAACTCGTTTGCGCTTCGTTCTTAGTTGAAACAAATAGCAACATCCTCTCTAGAAGTATAGTATATTCGAAAACACAGTAAAAGACGTGAAAACATTCTGTTGTCTTAACACATTCGTGACGTAGTATTACTCGTTTCTTCCTACTTTAAATAGTTTATTGTCTCAATTCGATTCGAGCGTTTCAAATTAACTTATTTTTATCGATTTTTTTTATAGTACCACACTAGCAGATAAATTTTTAGAAATGAATAATTGAAAGTAGCGTTCGACGAGTGAACGTTCTCTCCACCCCCGATTAGCCCCCCGTTAGCGTATCATTCCAATAACGCGAGATTCCACGCGTCGAACGAACTCTGTTATAGTCATCGATCCCGTCCTCTCGCAATCGATCAATCCTTGTAACGTCGTCGTTTTTGATCCTCCCGATCCCGGTGTCCGGTGTCGATCTCCATCTTAACTCGATCTTTAAAAAAAGACAAAATCAGCTGAGAGTTCGAGCCATGTGTTAAAACGAGTGCCATAAACTGCGATTTCGAATCTCTCTCTCTCTCTCTCTTTCTCTCTCTCTCCCTCGATCTATCATACGCTAGAACAACCATTTCACGATCTGCGCTTGATACAACTTAATCATTTTTGTAACAAAATTAGGAATCTTTTGGTTGTTCCGGTGTCGCGAGTCGTAGAATATTTATTTACTCGCGGATACAGTTGGGAGGAGATTGAATCGGAACCGGAAGGAGTGCGAGAGGATCGATGAATCCTTCGCGGAGCATCTTCGAGATACCGATTGTTCGGACAGTTGCGTGAATAACTTCCCTTCGGCGAATTGTGTAGAACTTAGCTGCGTCGAAAACGTATCGCTATGTAAAAGCGTTACGATCCTCGTCGAGTGGTTCGAGTAGGACGTATATATGCGTCGATCGTTCGCAAAGGGTTAAGTAAAAGAGAAAGAGAGAGAGGTAGGAGAGAGAATGGAGCAGCGACGATGAACTGAGGTTGCCTTATAACTATCGAGCCTATATTATAAATATACATAAATGGAAATATATTATTGTAAGACCGTCTAGGACGATCGAGGCAAATATATTAATATCGAAGAGATGTGTATACGTGTTCTGTGAGATAAGTGTGCATGTGTATGAGAGAGAGAGAAAGAGAGAGATGTATACCAGTAGAAAGCAACGTACTATTATTTGAAGAAGAGTAGAAAGTCTATCGTACGGTCATTAGTATTAAAATACCTGCTGTATGGATGTAAGTTGATACGAAGAAAGCTATTATATAATTTTATCTATTATTATTAATTATTAATTAATATTCTCTATTATTATTATTATTATATTATTATGAATGAGTATCGGAACCACACATCTTATGTAGCTGTGATTTTGCTTTCGAACAAGTAAAGATTAAAAGTATTTATAGCAACGACAAGTCTTTTCTCTTTATTAAATCATCCTAATAATTGCGTTAATTACGAAAATTACGTTGTACAGTTTACAGTTAAAGCAATAGATAAGATTGTTTGAAACTTATACGCCGATTGCATTATCGCCTATACGCAATTGTTACTCGACGACTTCATTTGCATAATATCACGTGCTTTTCACGGAAATTTTTTATACCCGATTCGTGACTTGAAAGAGTAATTGCATTAAAAATTTAATCGAAAGCTGATACAGATTTATCTCGGATTTTTTTCTAATTAGCGACGACGCGAAATAGTAAACGGTCTCGACGTTTAATAGTAAACTGTTGCTGGGTCTTCTGGTTATTTACATAATTACGATTTAGTTACAAACGTGGCGTAAGCGAGTTGTTTTGACTATCGATAATGTCGTAGAGTAGGAAAATTTACAGTGCTGATAACCAAGCGAGCAACGTTATCTCGCTGTTTCTTTTCGTTTTTCATTAGTCCCGTGTACGATTTATCAGTTCATGTATCGTTCTAATTTACTAAACATGCGTCTAATGAATGATAATATTTTTAGTGTAGTCATTCTGACTGATAGCAAATTCTTTTTTTTTTGTCAATGAGATTAGGAGTCGTGCGTAAGTTTACGACATAGTTTAATTACTACCTTCAAGAAATTAATTTCTGTATCAGCAGTTACATAATTTATTGCTACGATTATTTAGTTCAAAGAATAGAGTTAACGATTGAACTACGTATTTCAACATAATGGTTGGTAGAAATATTTGTATACAACTCGATGACAGAACGGATATCTCTCAGTGTTCGACCGACATCGGAAGAAGAAGGTTCTCCTTATTGTCATCACAATTCCTTCCCCGTACAAGAACAGGTAAAGCTGGTTTATAATCATGCACAATAAAAATATAGTTAACAGTCAAAAATAAAATTGACATATTTATTCATCGGTTGATAATTGCGAAATAAGTCAGTCGTCGGTAATTGCAAAATTGGAAATATATTCCGTTGCCATCTACCGGTGAAGCGCGGAACTATCTAAACAAGTTACCTTGATAATTTAGAAAACTGTATTTTATGGACTGTAAAAAGTGTGGCCATCTAGCGGTGAAAGGTGGAAACTACTCGAACTAAATTTCGGATAAAAATTTTGCATTTATTGATAATTGGGATGTAGCGATACATACAAGAATTTTCTGAAATTAACTAATGCTATATTCCGAGGCATATTATCGTCTTTTAAGTTAAAAAAGTAAATATATAATACGTGAGTTTGGAAACGGTAGCGTTGCTAAAAATGGTAAACTAGCGCCATCTAGCGGTTAGGACCAGAAGCTACTTCAAGTATCAGGATCGCAGAAGAGCAAAGGAGGTGTGCAGAACAGGAGTTATCCCACGCATGCGCAGTGCAGTTGTCACTCCGCGTACTCAAGCGCACGGGCGTACAAGAAAAATTAATTATTCACTTTTCGTACATAATTTATGAACTTTTATGATTGAACATGTATTAGCAATACATTACCCTATTTTCTCATGTCACATTTGTTCAGATTATTAATGAATTTATTTAACTATTACCGATTCCCCAATAAAATATTAATTATTAATTAATTACAACGAAAATCTGGTCAAATGTGGTATTAGAAAATAGCTAATGAACCAGTTGTCGTTGTTCAATTATAAAAGTTCGTAGTTTGTAATCAGGAAGTGAGAAATTAATTATTTTTTAATAGCATATCATGTAGTAGAAAGGACAGCTCAAAAGAGTTCTACTGCGCATGCGCGACGCCATGTTGGGGAGTCGTCCCCACCCCACGTCTACTGCGCATGCGCGACGCCATGCTGGATTGGGCGGGGCCACGCCTGTTGAACTGCGCGTGCGCGACGCCATGCTGGATTGGGCGGTGCCACGCCTGTTGAACTGCGCATGCGCGACGCCATGCTGGGAGAGGCGGAGTTACCGGAGTACACTGCGCATGCGCGTCTACGCGAGCTACCTTCTGTTTGGAATACCTCCTTTGCTTCTCTGTGATCCTGATACCAGGCGTAGCTTCTAGACCCCCGCCGCTAGATGGCGCTAGGTTAGTATTTCAATAATATACTCTTTCCAAACATAAGTATTATATATTCATTTTCTTAACTCCGATAATGATAGTATGATACGGAATACAGCAGTGGTTAATTTCAGAAAATTCTTGTAAACGTTGATGCATCGTAATAATCAATAGATGCAAAATTTATATACGAAATTTAGTTCCAGTAGTTCCCACCTTTCACCGCTAGGTGGCTACACTTTTTATAGTCCATAAAATGCAATATTTTCAGTTTTCGAACAGAAAGTTTCTGGCACTATTTCAAGATATTTTTCCAACTTTACAGTGCTAGGAGAATAATTTCCAATCAATAGTTAAAAATTTTTTACTTCAAAAGGCAAATATTTTTTCGAGTAGTTTCGCGTTTCTCCGCTAGCTGGCGCCAGTAGTAATACGTACGAAAATTGAAATTGTGAAGTGCAGGTGCATAAGATAAAAATCTTTATTCTAGTCAGGATGTAGAACCTAGTGTATCTTTTTTGAAGCGTAAGGGTGCCATAAAGTAGCTCGCTTAGAGAAGGTAAATCTGCACTCGAGTACAGTGTGAAATGTTCGAACCCGAAGAAATCAGTCTTTGTTCGGCATTCCCAGGGAGAAGAACATTCTGCTCCATGTACCAGTTTCTATCGCTGTCCTTCGTTCCTTATTCTTAACCTGGGTCACGTTCCATACGGTTACACGTATTTCAAGTTTCTTCAGCTTCTTAGAATCAATTTGTTTTCTTCTTACATTTTACATTCTTTTCACTTACCCGCCTATGTATACTTGCCTTATTTTCCCTCAGTGTCATTCCACCCTTTTTGCTGGATTGGGCGGTGCCACGCCTGTTGAACTGCGCATGCGCGACGCCATGCTGGGAGAGGCGGAGTTACCGGAGTACACTGCGCATGCGCGTCTACGCGAGCTACCTTCTGTTTGGAATACCTCCTTTGCTTCTCTGTGATCCTGATACCAGGCGTAGCTTCTAGACCCCCGCCGCTAGATGGCGCTAGGTTAGTATTTCAATAATATACTCTTTCCAAACATAAGTATTATATATTCATTTTCTTAACTCCGATAATGATAGTATGATACGGAATACAGCAGTGGTTAATTTCAGAAAATTCTTGTAAACGTTGATGCATCGTAATAATCAATAGATGCAAAATTTATATACGAAATTTAGTTCCAGTAGTTCCCACCTTTCACCGCTAGGTGGCTACACTTTTTATAGTCCATAAAATGCAATATTTTCAGTTTTCGAACAGAAAGTTTCTGGCACTATTTCAAGATATTTTTCCAACTTTACAGTGCTAGGAGAATAATTTCCAATCAATAGTTAAAAATTTTTTACTTCAAAAGGCAAATATTTTTTCGAGTAGTTTCGCGTTTCTCCGCTAGCTGGCGCCAGTAGTAATACGTACGAAAATTGAAATTGTGAAGTGCAGGTGCATAAGATAAAAATCTTTATTCTAGTCAGGATGTAGAACCTAGTGTATCTTTTTTGAAGCGTAAGGGTGCCATAAAGTAGCTCGCTTAGAGAAGGTAAATCTGCACTCGAGTACAGTGTGAAATGTTCGAACCCGAAGAAATCAGTCTTTGTTCGGCATTCCCAGGGAGAAGAACATTCTGCTCCATGTACCAGTTTCTATCGCTGTCCTTCGTTCCTTATTCTTAACCTGGGTCACGTTCCATACGGTTACACGTATTTCAAGTTTCTTCAGCTTCTTAGAATCAATTTGTTTTCTTCTTACATTTTACATTCTTTTCACTTACCCGCCTATGTATACTTGCCTTATTTTCCCTCAGTGTCATTCCACCCTTTTTCCTACAACTTACAAACACCCTACATTGCAGAATGCTTCGTTAGCATTTAGCAATATAATTTTTACTACTCTGTTAATGAATCATGCAAAATTGTATTTTATCTTTGTATTTCAGAATTGGACACGGTGACAATCATTTGGGAGATTGACACAGTATCGAATCTGATTTGAAGTTGCCGAAGACGAAGTGAGAAGTGGGGAGAGACAACGCTTGTTTAACGAAGAGTATTCCATAATTCTATCAGTCTGTTCTGAACCATCGACAAGAGAGGATTCTTGTGGGTGTTGTTACAACTTCCTTCGATATATCGAACGAAAGGTAGGTACATTTATGATCAATTAACTTATCGAGCAAATTATTATATTTTCTCAGTCAATAACAATCTTGTATTTTTTTGTGTTGCAGGACAGCGGCGATACTACTGCATTCTACAGAACAACTACCTCCGCAACATAACAGAGCGCATCCGAGAAGAATAAATCAACACATCTCATCCACGATACACTATACATTAATATTACTAGTTACTTTTTTATTGTATATTAAAGAGCGATCATATTTGTATAGTATATATAGATATAAGAACTGATTGTTATATTAATAACTGTATGTATGTATGTATGGATGGATGTATGTATGTACGTATCTATGTAATTAATAGCTGTATGTACTTTCAATGTATTCAGAACTTGTATGCAACAGAAAATTTCAATAAACGATAAATAAAAAGAATATACAGAGTATTTATTTAAAAAACCTATCCCATGCGTTCAGAAACATTACATAAAACAATAAAAAAAAAATTAAAGAAACAGTTCAGAAAAGCTGTATCTACTTCGCAAAATAGCAGAAAATAACGCGAAATCAAAATTCCTAAGAATTCCTGGAAATGACGTCACAATTCCAAGAAGTGGCATGCCACCTCCTCACATATTATGTTCTCCTGATACAAAATTTGGAAGATCGCGAAAAATTTGGCAAATCAGTCTCGAGAATTCCTAGAAATGACGTCATCAGAATTCCAAGAAGTGGCCCTTCTGCCACCTCCTCGCATGTTATGTTCTCCTGATACCAAAATTCGAAATCGGTGGCTCAATTTCTAAAATTTTTCGGAATAATTCTTGGAAATGACGTCATCAAAATTCCAAGAATTGAGGTTTGTGCCACCTCCTCGCATATTATGTTCTCCTGATACCAAAACCCGAAATCGGTGGCTCAATTTTTCATATTTCTCGCAAAAATTCTTGGAAATGACGTCATCAAAATTCCAAGAATTAAGGTTTGTGCCACCTCCTCGTATATTATGTTCTCCTGATACCAAAACTCAAAATCGGTGGCTCCACTTTTCAGATTTTTTCCAAAATTATTCTTGGAAATGACGTCATTAGAATTCCAAGAATTGAGGTTTGTGCCACCTCTTCTCATATTATGTTTTCCTGATACCAAAATTCGAAATCGGTGGCTCGATTTCTCAAATTTTTCGGAATAATTCTTGGAAATGACGTCATCAAAATTCTAAGAATTGAGGTTTGTGCCACCTCCTCGCATATTATGTTCTCCTGATACCAAAATTCTAAAATCAGGAGCTCAATTTTACAAATTTTGTTTGATAATTCCGAGAAATGACGTCATCAGAATTCCAAGAAAAGAATTTTGTGCCACCTCCTCGCATGTTATGTTCTCCTGATACCAAAACTCGAAATCGGAACCTCGACTTTTCAAATTTTATTTCAGTAATTCTTGGAAATGACATCGACAAAATTTCAAAAAGTAGTGTTTGTGCCACCTCTTCGCAACTTATGTTCTCCTGATACAAAATTTTAGAATGCAGCATTTTATTTTCGCACGAATTCTCAGAATTTCGAGGAATGGTCACTGACGTTGGACCATAAAGGATAAGGTTTTGGTAAGGATTTGAAATAAATAGACATTGCAAATGAATTTTTACCTGTTTATTTTTAAATAAATTTCTATACATATTTACAATTGTGTAACATATTAAAATCTACTAATTGTATAATATTCTGACTTACACTAATAATAATATATTATTAAACTAATAATAAAACTAATAATATATTATTATATTATATACATATTATATTATATACATATAATAATATTATTATTATATTATATATGTGGGATCCTATTTGTTTGACTGAATCTTCCTAAAGGATATTTCAGGTTGAGGATCCTCGAAAATAAAATAAAACTAAAGATGAAGGTGAATAATCGACACACTGAATATGAATAATAAATGTGTATATATATTTAAAAGAACAATTAACGTTGTGAATGCTTTCGATGCTGGACAAAGACTGTCCGTGCTACGCGCCCTGTTCGGCGTTCTTTCTCCCGTCGATCGTATTTTGTCTTAACATAATTTTTCCATTACACGTGTCGCACGCTTCACTCCCCACATATATTTACATAGAGCTTCTATTTATTTTATTTTACATTATTTGTGCAATATTCTTTTAGTTCCTTTTATTATTATTATTTTGTTATTTATTATTTTATAATGCTATTGTGCCAAAGACAAATTGTGATATTTTAAGTTATTTTAAAAATTACATTTATTTACACTGTTATGTTATTTTATAAATTCTATTATAAATTGTTTTTCAGTTTTATTCTTGTTGAATATTATGAATGTAATTTTTGTTTTATGAATACTGATAAGGTTTTGGCAGTTTTCCTTATCCTAGCAACAAATGTTGGTATTCTTTTATTGATTCTATCCAATAAAATATTTTATTTTTATATTATATATTTTGCGTACAGTTATTTTATTACCCTTCCTTTACATCTGCTCCTCAAATATGAAAATATGTATATAATCTAATCTTATCCAACCTATAAATTCATATTTCACAACCAAATTATAACAATTTTTGAAAAATAATGAGGGGTGATTAAGGTACCCCATTTTATTGAAACTTATACTTCACTGAGACTAAAATTGCCGCGCATGCGCGAAAAAACCCGGCCCATATCTCATCACTGATCATAGATAGGATTTGACGGTGCTGCTAATCTGGTTGCTGTGTACGATAAACTTAATTGCTTTCCTCGAATTTCTAATGATGTTAGATTGGCTTCAGATAGAATAGAAAAAAAAGGTGCTAAGTATTTTAAGACATTTGGTTTAACAACCATAAACAACTGACCCATAATTAAGTTTGGACAGAATTAAGGCCTTGTATGAATTAATTAGAACTACGAATTCCGCTCCCCAATTTTTCGAAGCAATAACTTTTAACATATTTAGTCTTTTAACACACTCTTCTTTGAGCTTTTTAAGAAATGGTATCCATGTGTGGTGTTTGTCAAAGGTTAGGCCGAGGATTTTTGGAGTGTTTGTTATACTGACAAGGAAACATATCAAACCGCGACACACCTTTATTTTAATAAAAATGCTGATTGCCCCTCTTCACAGGAGGTGATGTTAAATTATATATCTAATAAACATTGCAACAAACAACAAATTCCAAAAACACGTATCCTCTATTTTTGTCCATAGTTTACGTACACGAAGTTGCAAAAAATAGGTCAACATTTAGTGCAAAAATTTAAACAAAAATTATAAATTTTCAAAATATTATTTAAACAAATACAGTTAATTGAAATTTTTTTACGCACAAAAATTCCCTATTTAAAAACGAACAATTTACAAAAAAAAGAATCCAATTATCTTCTTTAATTCCGGAGATATTCCCAAAAATATGATTTCCACCCCCAACTTCAAGGGCTATTTTCAAATATTTTTTTGAGAACTATATCTCACATAATGTTCGATATGTTTCCTTGTGAGTTGATGCTGACCTAAATGTAGCTGTAGTTTATAGTTTTGAGTTTTTCTTTGTTTTGAAAAGATTGTGACGGTGGTTTTGTTTTGGGAAAATTTAAATCCTGTTTATAACGAGAATTTTTGAAGTTTGTCTAATTTGTCCTGAAGGATTTGTTGCATGGTGCTTAAATTTGTTCCTGTAATGAAGAAAGTGCAGTTATCAGTGAAGATGGTGTACTTAATTGGTTTAAAAAAAACTTCGGTGATATCGTTTATAGCAATTAAGAATAAAATTACGCTTAGTACAGATCCCTGGGGTACCCTGTTTCGGATTTCCGTTTTCTTGAATAAGTTTCCGTTGACACTGACGTACATGGATCTATTTTTTAGAAAATTATGTAACATAATACCCTTAATGTTCCATTTTTGTAACTGTTGGATAATTCTATGCCTCCAAACCATGTCGTACGCCTTTTCAATATCTAAACATATAGCTACTAGGCGTCGTTTTTTAAGAAAAGCTTCACAGATATTGGTATCTAACATTGTGAGGCTGTCTATTGTCGAGCGGTGTTGTCTGAACCCGTTTTGATTTCCTTCTAGCAGGTTATTAACTTCTAGATACCATCGCAATCTTTTACATAATATCTTTTCTAACAACTTGCATAAACAACATGTACTAGTACAATTAATTGCATTAGTTGCACAAATATGAGTTGCATTAATTGTACTAGCATTACAATATAAGAAATATAACTAATACTTATGTACACTTATATACTTATGTAATAATTAATATACTTATATAATAATTAATATGTAACGTAGTCGTAAGCTTCAAACGATGAAATCTGTAAAAAAAACAAAAACTTATTAATTTTCGCAAGAAAAGATAACGTTACAGATAAATCTCTACTCATAAAACTACTACTAAAATCTAAACCAACTACTTCACTGCATCATCTAAAATTCCTACCACATGACTAAAACTACTAAAAACTACATCAACTACTATTCAGAAGCTACTTATTAAAACAACTACATACTAAAATAAATAGAACAAAGAATATAACGCTACAGACTAAAAGAATATAACCCTAATGAGCAAAATTAAAAGCAGTTCACCCAAGTATAAATGCAAAGGAGAAATTTCTTGTACTAATTCTAAAAATACACGCAGTAAGTGTACTCACAGTGGACAGCGGTTCTACGAATCCGCAAGGTAGCATCGTGTCATCGATCGGTTCAGCAATTTCTCCATTTTGATTCGAGTGGTCGAGCGTTGCGAAGCGGGTTCGCGACCGCGAGAGACGCGTAGCAAAACCGAGGCTCGGCTCGAAAAAATTTTCTGCGGACTGTTCCAGGGCCGTATCCGTATGCCGTTCGTCGACCCGTCGACACATATAGGGACGAAAAAGCACACGAGAACCGAGGAAAATCCTGTGCACAGACGAGAATAGACGAGTTTCTGCGGCTTCGAAACGCGAGGGGAAAGCGACGACTCCGACCACCTCGAGCGCACTGTCTGAGCGCTGGATTATTCGATACTGCTCCTCCGCTGTCAGCCTTACAACGCTTCTTTTACGATTCTTTTCATCCTTCGCGGCTCTACGTGCTGCTCGCAACCTCTTTCTGTAATCACAGAACGACTGTACGCGTTATACAAATTTTTATTTCTCTCGGACATGCATAGGTTACTTTTTATTTCATTTTTTTGGTGCGCTTTTTGAAAGATAGTTCATTTTACATCATATATGTAAATTTTTTTTACATCATACATGTAATTTTTTTTTACATTATACATGTCAATTTTTAAATACACTTTACATTATCTATTAAAGATCGCATATTTTTATTTGAAAGTTACGAGAGTAAAATTAAGATGTGGTCGATGAACCGTACGATAAAAAGCAATCGATAGAGTGGCACGTGCCAAAAGCTTGACAGAAGAATTTTATTTAGAAAGAAAGCTATCGTTCGTGATACGAAGTTTTGCTGATTGCAAATTAAATATCGGAAACTATGCGAGTGTTTCGCAGATTGCAAGATTCTGTTGCCTTCGTTCTGTTTGTTCGAACGTGTTCTGCCGGCTGTTTGTTCGGCGTACCGGCACGAGATCGCATGCAAAGTACTTATCGGCCGCCATAAAAATCAAATAAGATAAGGAGAAAAGTACGGTTGAGCAACGGTCGCGAAAAATTAGTAGAATCTTCTTAGGGGAAGGCAAATAAACGTGCTTATCAGCGGTTTATCAGTGGCCATGAACAAAAATCTCTTCGCGAAGTTGTAGTATTCTACGCCTTTCGATAATGCTTACTAAAGCGATTCGATCGAATCGGATAAAAATAGCCCTCCCAGTTTTGTCCGATCATTAGCTAGGATGAAAGCGGTGATTAAACGCTCGTCGCAAGGTTGATCGATCGTTAAAGAATTATCTTCGCGGAAAGAAGTGTTCGTGAAACAGGAAAGCGAGATTAGTTTCCGGCGACATAACACGATCGAATTTTATCGAAGAAAAACACAATAGTTCACGTAATCGCGTGATTTATTGCTCACCCAGATTAGCTGCCATTCACGAAACAATACGATAAGCAAATTAATTCCATATTAATGGTACGTCTATTTTTACATCGATCATTAAAATAATGATTTCGAAAATGTAAAAAGTGTGGAATATTTATGCACCTAATATTTTATGTCCGAGTTATCTGAGTACTAATGGAGCATTAAGAAAAAAGTATCGAAGTAAGTACAGAAATTTTCCGTAACTGGTTTGGCTCCATTTCAGTCTGTATCGCTCGGTAAACAGAACAGTAAAACGTTCAAAAATTGCTGCGATTTATGGATGCACAGATGCGAAAAGAATTGAAAAGTTTCGATTAAACGAAATTAGGTGTCAAATCTCTACGTAGCTTTGCTAAGAAAAATTCGACGAAATAAGCACTTTTCTCGAGTCAATTAACTACGACGGAGAATATGCACCTTCTGTCGAATATCGTAAGTCGATTTCGGAAGCCTTTGAAACTCTAAATCATCGAGGCCCTCTAGTTTAGTAAATAATATTATCGTCTGAAACGTTAAACAGATATTTACCGAAAAAATGACGCAACGAAGCTAAAGAAATATATCTTCATTCTAAAATACGTGATTCATTAATTTAACTACCTCGAATATTTTTAGACTAGAAAACCTCGTTAACATTAGACCACAATCTAGCACGAATAGTTCTCGGTATATTCTCTACCCAGAACCATGACTGGTTTTTATTTTCTTCACCTTTCAACCTACTTTTCACTGTCACTTGCCCAACGAACTTCCAGTAAATGTACGAATCATCGAACTGTAGAAGAGATAACAGTGAGAGTGAATGCTCCGCAAATTTCCAAGCTGCTTAAGAAAACCAGTCGATGACTAATAACTAAACGACGCTACCGATTTGCATACGTAATCTGTCATCGCAGATGTTAATCGAGATACGTTCGTATCGATAATCTTGTTTAGTCTCGACCACCTTTTTCTATCGAAAACGATCGACGAAAGTTCGTGGCAAATATACGCAGAGTTCACGGTGCAATTAATTAATAGCGTATTTTGTCTGGGGACACACGACCCGAATCTACGAAACAGTTTCTCGATGATCTTTGTACAGAAGTTCGGATGTCTCGAGACTCCTTGACACGGTTCGATTACGAAACGACGAAGCAGCTTCTTGACGTTGCTATTTTCGAAGAGGTTTCGACTCTGTGAACGGCGAAAGAAACACGATATGTTATGAAAAATTGATTAGAACGATCGTCTCTCGTCTTACGTGTGCACATTTTTTCCCTCGAATTTATCGTGCACTTTGGTTTGCTAATTTCATCGGAGAACTGTTTGCCGAAACGCGTGGAAGAGTAATATAATACTTTTCTGATACGTGCAAAAATTTTCCATTAACGAACCTATCAAATTAATTGAATAACGCGTAGACTACAACGATACGCGGAGCAGCCGGAATCTTGAAATAGCAGTTTTCAAAAATATTGTTGTACGATAAAATTTGTATCTTCCGCCTTTGCGAAAATTCGTCGATGCTCCTACGCGACTTTAGATAGCGCGAATACTCGAGGAAAAGGCGCAGATAAGAGAAGGGGAATCCGAGCGTCGTCCGGAACCTCTAATCACCGTCTGGACCAACGTCCACAGCGATTGCTCGGCAGGAAATTAGAAAATGGCTGGGTTCGCGGGATTTTTCAAGCATCCTACTCTTCTCGATCACGCGACCACCGTGTGAAAATGTACGTCGTCTCTCCGTCGAGTGCGGTTTGCCTCTATCCACCCATCGTCCGTATATAACCCCGCAGTACTTTTTCTCTTTCGACTCTCCACCTCGCAGCTTCGTGTATTCGGATTACGTCAGGGATCAATGAATCGTTGCATAATAATCGCGACGACGAAAGCGCCGATACCCTAACTCTAATTGCTCTAATCTTTAAAAAACTGGTCTAGACTCTGTTATCTTCTATACTCTCAATTGTCATCGTTTTTTCCATCAGTTGTCTCCGTAATGGGTACAATAGGTACAAGCTTCAACGTTCATCGATTACAAGCATAATTCGGAAATCTCGTAATGCGAAGTTAGGTCAACGAGAACTTTGTAACGCAGACAAATGAATAGAAAAAATACATCATTTCAAGTCCATACAATCTCGGACGTTTATACAATTCTTTTGAATAATTCACCAGATAAGCGTTAATAAAAAGCAGACAGGAGGTAAACAACGTTTAATTTCCCATCGGCGATGAAATTTCAATATTTCCATAAACATAGTTTCGGTGAACTTTGGACTAGAGCGAAGGCCGTGCTCGTGATACATTATTACAGATAATTAGAATTTTAAGAGTAGGGACGCTTTCACCGAGGATCAGCAACGAATTTCTGTGCGACGAAACACGAAACTTGACAGTTACGGTACTACGCGTCTCCTTCGTTGACCCTGAGACCTTTGTTATTTTCTTTCGGCAAGAAGGTCATCCGGGGTACAACCTTTCGGACGGTGGTATAGGGTTCAATACTAACTACCTCTCTCGAATCCTTTGTTTTGCTTCAATGGAGCCTCCACCAAGCTATTACCTGCTGTCTATTGTCCCTTTAGCTACGGTCCGCTTCGCCACAAAATTCTTCATTTATTTTAATTTTACGGAATAGCTCTTGTCTTAGGAGAATATATTGCGACCAAAAGGAACTATAAATAACAAAATGGACACTCAAGAATTGTCCTACTTAAAACAGCTTAAAAACCTCGATTAAATTCGAACGAATCTGTCCAATGTTTGTGTTCGATCGGAGAAAAGATAGAAGTTTTTTGACAGAAAAGCGAGCAAGCGTGGTCGATCGGCGATGCCAGACAGAGTGGCCCGTCCAAAGGGCTGTCGTTTCGAAAGAGCACGAGCAGACCTCGTGTTAGTACGTGACTATTCTCGCGTTTCCGTTACTCGGCCCTTTTGTGTTCGTTTCGTACATGGCCGGGAAGAGAATCCTTCGAAGATGCCAGCCAATTGGTCGGAGCACCCTCGCAGCTAGTTCAAACGACCAATCCACAGATCTGCCGCGTCGAGGTTCGGAGCAGAAGCGTGAGGTCGCCACTGAGAGCTGCGTTTAACGTCGTGCACCATTCCCTGCTCCGGACACACAGTCGTTGTTTGTGTTTTGTCGAAGCCGGTGACGAGCGAGAGTCGAAGAAGCCCAGTGGGCGCTTGGTCAGTTTGCGACACCCCTGCAAACGGGCGTTAACGATTCGATTTAATCGATTTGATGGGGAGTCTCGACGCGCTACCGAAGGATGGGCATATTCCGTGAATTTCCGATCGTCTTCAACCTGTACGAGAAAGACAGTTAGAAACGGAGGTAGCACGACGCTCTGCCAGTTTATATGGGCACCGACTGCCGCGTAACCGTGGTCAACGTTCCTATAAATATCCAGCCAATCAAGGTGAGTCAACAGCGCGAAGTTTCTAGTCTCGTTTCGTTTCTCTCGTGTACCGTAATGTGTACATGGTTGGTTAATCTGCTTTAGGATCGATCACGACCCGCTTCCGCTCGCCGGATTAAGTGGGAGCGCGCGAGCGAGCTGCGTACTCGCCGAGGGCATCCACTAACCCTCTTTATTTACCCTGTCCTACCAATTGCTCGTTTATCGAGCGATCGACGCTCGTCGAATGTCCAGAAGCTTCCTTCGATCGCACGCGCGTTTCGTTTAAAATTTCCTGCACGCCGAAATCCTTGGCCTTCATCGGAATCTTCATTAGCATACGTTCACGGCATCGATTTCACTCCACGAATCCAGTCGAACAATTGTTTCTCCGTTTATTATTCTTCCAACAAATAAGAATTCTCGAAGAAAGCGGTTCCGTGTATCTTGATGAGGAAGATGTTCCTAATTAGGTTGAATGCGATAGACTTTCTTACGTGCATTATTGGTGCTTCCCATTATTATGACGCACGTAAACACTCGTAGGCGTTATGCCAGAGGTGTGTCACAGAAATCCGCAAAGAGCTATCTACTCCGACTGGAGAGGCTAATTTAAAGTCCTTGAAAATGACAGACTTCGTGATTCCTCGTTGAAGATCCACTTATTAAAACCTGTCCTGTTCCATCATCCTGCTACAAAGTGGAAATGGGTCCCCCAAGTTGCATCTGGCTCTTCTATCTGCGTTACTAATTTGCGGCAATCAGAGGGGCACGGGGACTCGGTGCCGCACGGTATATTACGATCAATTCAACTGTTCTGCGAGCGTGTCACGAAGCTCGTGTCGTTGCGAAATAGTGCGTCGTTCGGCTTAGCGTAACCACAGCCGGTGTATCTTTTTCCGAGTCTTGCCATTCAAATTTATTCGACCGATCGAAATTCGAACGTTTCGCGCACACGTTCGTTGTGCTCAAATATTGCTCAATATTGTCTGCAAAGGCTGCTAAAGAGTTAATCTCGGGGTCGTCGGGCTATCATCGTGTGGTTTTTTTTTTCTCGTGCAAGTTAACTTTGGCAACGCGAAAGTCGAAGGTCTGTTCGCGTACGCGTGAACCTCGAAACGAACGTCAAGATTCGATACACGAAAAAAAAGAGGAGGAGGAGGAGGTAAAGGTCAACCTCTGGCGAGATTTTCAGCAAAATTCTGCTTATCGTTCGCTCGACATCGAATGAATAGTGTAATTGGTTGTGTTTCAGAATAAAACGGCGATAGTCAAGAGCGACCGAGAAGCGTACGAGGCCGAGGAATAGTATTAAACGCTCGACGAAGTCTTTATCCCTGGACGCGTCAATAGCGGTCAATATGTCGAAAGTGTCGGGAATAATGAAGACAGACGACGTCGTTGGGAAACCGACTCTTGTACGACGCGTTTCCAACATGCTGAAAGGTAAGAAATGCCTGAATTTTATCCCCGGCTTATCCGAGTAAACCTCTCGACACGGCCGGTGACGTAACACCAGCTGCATCTTTAAACGGATTATCGATTAAGATTCGTACTGTTCTTTTCGTCAAAACAGATGGAAGTTATAGCGGACCACCGATGCTGTTTCGTCATGCTTCTATGCAGAGGATTCGCCATTGCTGCCAAAATCTCAACCTCTTCCCGTATCTGCTTTACTCGTTCGACAATTCGAAGTCTCACCCGGTAGCTCGTAAGGTGCATCTCTGCCTGGGTCAGCTGCTCGAAGTGCTCACAGCGAGGATCTTCTTCCTCTACAAGAGCTTTCGACGCTCTCTGCTGCGCGGTATTTGCTCGGAGGACTCGAAAATCGAGGAGCAACAACCGGCCAAACCTGCCGAGGACGCGTCTAAATTGACGAGCGAGTTTCAAACGATCAACCGACCGAAACGCAAACAACAGAGTCCGTTGTTCCTCAGTTTGGCTGTTTATTTGGCCGTGCTCTTTCTCGCCTTTCAAATGGTCGGCGTATTTAGCCTGATGGTGAGCGGCAAGTACACGCCCGGTTTCATATTCCTCATCTCGGCCTTGCTGTTTCTCGGCTGCATCTCGCTCAAGATTCTCTTCCACGAGAGCGTCACGCACAGTGTCAAGCCGAAGAGGAAGAACAAAGTCCACTGATCCCTTATTTTCTTTCCGATCATCGACGGTAGATAATAGACCTAAGAGTATTTGAGCAGAGTTCTTGGCTATTCGCTACAGTTTCTCCCGCTACATCCGAATACTTAAATGATAACACCAGACAGAGCTTATCGGTTGGCGAAAGCCAGCTGACACTGGCGCCACACGAGCGTTTAAAACGATGTTCGTTCTAAGGATATTTTATAGCGAGTTTACAGGAACTAGCTTTCCTTTGGACAAGGATAAGGGTACTATAATTTTGTAGAAATCTAAGAAAGTACTTGAGACTCTGAGAAAAACTGACAGTGAACTCCAGGGAAACCCTAAGATAGATCGATACGAGAGGATCGTTTGTCTTGAAAGAATTCAAGGAGAGCCTAACTTAGAATCTGAGGAGAATCTAACCTCCTAGTATCGTCCACAAAGAACGTTCCTTTCCAATTGGGGACTATAATGACTACGGACATCGTTTGGAATGCTCGTGTGGCTCTAGCCTAAGTCGCTTGTTCATGTTCGTACACTTTAATACCATCCTGTTTTTTTAGATAGCTTCGTAGTTCATATAGGAAGTCGGAATTCGACTCATTCACGCGTCGCCAATTTCACACGATAGTTTTTTGTACTTTAGTCGAACATAAATGGACGTAAAGCAATCGCGTGCGTGATCGTTGTGGCAACGTTTAGAGGATAGGAGACGATAACGTTAGCCGGCATTATAATAATCCTTCCTTTGCATTATCTTCCTTTTACTTTTTTCGTCAACGTGATTCCGTGAATTACTAACTTTTTAATTTAGTAATCGAAACTGTATAACGTTACTACAATTTGACAGCGTATCGATTCTTGGAATTGATGGTGGCGTGCTAAGTCATCGAGTCAAAAGCGGAAATCGTTTTTAAAAGATATTACGGAGTTGATTCCAACGAGAAGAAGCGAAACGAAGGTCCTTTCTGTCACTATCAATGTCAAGATACGATATATTTAAAAAAGTTACCTGGACAGCGATCCGCGATTTTATCTTATCCTCTGCAGCAGAAGACTGAGAATCGTTTTAACTTTGTTGTATATAAAACAAACGATATAAAAGATAGAATGCGCGAGGAGAGAAAGAGAGAGAGAAAGAGAGAGCGCGAGAGAGAGAAACAAATATATATATATACACACATACATTATGTATACAAGAGCGAAAAGAAACGTCTATTCTATATCATATAGGTTATTATTCTCATTAGTAATCTTTGAGAAGACTTGGTGTGTCCACTGAACGAGTTAGGCTAATCTGTGATGAAGTGGATCCAAGTGCAATTTTTCACAGTCACTTGCTGTCCCACTTACTTAAGTACGATAAGGAACCATGTGTAACTTCGATCTGTTTTTTTTTAAATATACGTTACTTACATAACGAACAGCGATATTTATTCCCTTCTCTTTTTACATTCTAATACCTAATCTGGCGTATTCTGTCCGCCATTAATTAATAACTTTACAGTGCAGTAGATTCTACTGCATTAATACTGTGTGCCTATTATCTATCAGTAACCGAGCGAGGCTACAAAAATCAAACTAAGATACAAAGAAACGATAACGAAAATATTGTTGTCACGTTTCATGGCACTGCTCCCGTATCCATGGGATTGCATGTCTGCAGCATACGCTATAACTCGAGCTACGTAGCTCTGTTCGTGTACGCTATGGAACAAATGGGCGTATGGGCCTAAAAGCGACAACATTGAATATTTACATAGAAGTCATAACTCTTGTGCATCGTTAGTATTACCTATCGCATAGACAGCAACGTCACCACCACCGTGATAAGCTTCGTCAGATATTATAGTAGCCTGCTGGCTGTACGTGAAATCTGTCGTGTTTTCGCCAGATGGATTTATTCTGACTGCAGAACGGTTGTCTTTCACCGTATACGCCATGTTGTTTGGTCCCCCGGTGCTGTAAGTGAGCGTCGTGTAGGGGATTCCATCGTATTTGGATTTCTGAGCGATACCTGAAATACTCCTTTGTTACTTTCATAAGAATCGGAGATGCTTCAAAGGTTGAGGATTTTACCCAAAATAGATGAACCTCGATCGCTGTAACCATTGAAACTCATCGAATGAGTGTGATCGCTTGTCACGATTACCAGAGTGTCGTCGGTGTTGATCATCCTCATAGTCGCATTTATGGCGTCTGAAAATCTAACAGTTTCTAACAACGCTTGAGCAGCATGACCGCGATGGTGAGCGAAGTCAATGAGTCCTCCTTCGACCTACAAGTATGTCTTATGTACTCCAAGTAAAGCAACACCTCCAATAAAGTAACAGTACCACCAAGAGGTATCCGCGCTTTGATTTTTGCAAAACTTTTAAAGCAGTCACGGTCATTTCCTCGAGACTGGGTTGCCCTTCTGGACCTGTCTCTCTGTTCCAGTCCATGGCGATGTGACCATTCGCGAAAATCCCCAATAAATAGTCCACCTTCTTGGTATCCACTTTTGACAGCTCCTCGTTATTCTGAACGATATCGAAGGCTAAATTTCTGGAAACTTTGTCGCGTTTCCATTCTTCGATCAGGTCACGATCATCCTCTCTTTTCCCAGCCCATGTATCTATCGGGTCGAACTCGGTCTCCTCGACGTTTGATTTCATCATTTGTCTACCTCCTCCCATAATTACCTAAACCAGATTAATTATCCGGTCAGTATTTTCAATTATACTTCCCGATTATAATATCTTTTATGAACGTCTTAAAGAGCATGCGAAAGGTACACGTGAAACGATGAAATACTTAACAATGATTATTACAAATAACGATGATGATATTTTGCCTTGATATTTTTCCCTGGTAGATCCTCGACCAATTGTCTGGCGATATCTTTACAACCGTCTGTACCATTTGGCATCTTCGTTTCGCATTCCCATCTTCTATTTGCGCTGTGCGCATACAAAGGAGCTGGAGTGGCATGAGTCACTCTGGTAGTCGTCACGAATCCTGGAAATTAAGCGTAGTACCTTACACAATGTTTCTAATAACACTGTCACTTGACTAGCGTTAGTATTTTAACTAGCCCAAGGGTTAATATTAAAATTACACCAATATTAGTACTAACAGTGATCTTATCACAAGTTGAAAATGTCTCTCGCTACCTGTATCTTTACCGGCAGCCTGTGCCCAGGAAACGATCGAATCCACATGATGGTCGGTATTCAAGCTTGCTTCACAATCGTTCAATGGTACATTAGCATCGACTCCAACCACTTCGTAATTAGTTTTCACGCCTCCGAACAATGCTGTTGCCGTGGACGCAGAGTCGGGTACTTGTTTATTAACATTGTACGTCTGACGTTGAAAGACGAATTAGCAATCATTCGGCAAAAGTAGCAATGCAAAATAGAATATACACCTTGAGTATCCCGATATGAGGGAAGTTTTCCCAAGCCAATTCGCTGGTTTCGCCAGCTCGATATATTCTACTGGCGGTTATGGTGTCTGGACTCATGCCATCACCCACAAAGATGATCACGTTCTTCGCTCTGTTCGTGTTCCATTTATACGATAATGCCTCTTCGAGTTCGCTAGTCGAAAGTTCCCGCCAGTGTTTTTTATCTACGTAACATGTATTGCGTCAGCAGCTATTCTCCAACGAGACCACTCTAGTGGAGCCCTACATTCATAGGTGCACATACGACACGTGCAGTACGGAAAAGATAAGCGTACAGATATGATAGTTGGAGATAAATGTTAGATCTACTCGGCCGGCTATACGTTGAATGTTAGAATCATAGAGAAGGGAAACAGTTTTCTGAGTGAATGTAAAGATCATGCACAGAAAGTTGATAGAATGCAGAAAGTATTCGCGACTACATTATCAACGGAGAATGTTGACAGAGCGCTGCATAAATTACAATCAAGTGCTACAAATTTTGCTTGCTATACCTTCGATGGATGACCAAACGTTTCCAATAAGAAGAAAACCAAAATATATAGCGATACGCTTCATTTTTGACGTATTCTTTGCACAGGTGTTTATAAGCACGTATGCTAGGGAGTACTGACACGAAAAATTAATACGTTGCGTTTATCACTTTGTAGCGCTCTCTATCGTACGTTCTGTCGGGTCGATAAGAAAGAACCTTATCTATGGCGCTAATACACGTATGAGTCATCGTATCGTCAGTGCTGGAACTCGTTAACAAAAATGATAATTCGAACGAAAACTGGACAGGTGAGAGAAGAAAATCAAATGATTTAGCTAACATTCACTGTAACGTTTTATTTGATTTTTGTTCATATTCACTGTCTGTTCGTACAGATCGTAACACATCGCGTAATACAATTTTCGTAGAAGAACTCTCCTCTTCTCGTGTGTGTATTTATGTTTGATTTCGAAGGAAACCGATAAAAATAGACTCGATAAAATCAACCCTTCCAAAATGCGTTTCGTCCCTTGTACCACCCTCTTGTTTCTCGATATCCCTTTTTCCTAAGAAGCGCGAGATAGAAAAACTAAGAAAAATCTACGTACGTTTACTACTTATCAGACGTCAGCTTGCCAACGTTCTTTATTTAATTTGAGCTTTCGCGTTTCCAAAACGATGTCCATCGAAGGATCCGCGAAGAAGCGAAGTCCTTTCGCGACATTTTTTCGAACAAACTAACGATGTTCGCGCATTCGATCAAACGTACGATAATACATAGAATATAACTTTGTAAATTTTGATTTTTTACGAGGAACACGCTTCTCGGTACGCGCGATCCTTCGACTGCGATATATTAATCCTTTCAATTTATATTAAGACTATAAATGTGCTAAACTCAATCAAACACTGAGTTACTTGTCGAATAAAATGAACCCTCGAACCGAGGAGCTGGGTCAATTACAGCCTAGATATTTGGTAGTTTAAACGATAATATTTCAAGAAAAATACGAGGACGTCGGATTAGCAAGGACTCAGCTCGGTCGTTCGAGAATTAACAACGATTATTCTAACTTTGGCCAGCAGCGGGTATTCGATAACATGCAACAAAATCAAACTTTTAACGTTCTCTTATCAGCTTGATCTGTCGTCAACTAATTACACAAACGTGATTCGTTAATTACGGCAACTGTTACGCGAGTATTACGCTGGAACGCGACAAGGTGTTTAGCTGAAACCAACTATTCGAGCTCTGTTTCGGTACTTTTTTAATCCGTCTTTGATTGCGATTTTTCGGGTATTGTTTTTTGAGAAAAATGCTGTACATTCGATACCGGTTGATTCTGTGTAAGATGGAACTGAATAGTTGGTCACAACTGATGCAAGGGGAGGAAAAAAACATCGCTATCGTAGAACTCTCGCCGTGACAATTGGCCCTAATATAAACTCTCTACAAATCTCTCTTACACGATAAAGTACAATAAAGTTGTCCTCAGACGCCGCACGATCCTTCTCTACCGCTTTCTTTCTCTCGTTTCCTTTCTTTAAACATCGATTATTATTGCCAACGATTTGTCTCTTTGGTATTTTAGCTTCTCCCTTTGCTACAAATAGTCTACTTTCTTTCGAAATCGCAAGAAAACAAATTCCCGTGCGATGAATATTATATTTCCCTTCCCAACGAGGCTGCTTATTATAATCCTTAGTCTATCTTCCTCTTCGGCCTCGAACGATTGATTCGAGACTTTCCACCGCGAGCTGTAGCTGACAGCTCGTTTTTTTTTCGCTCATGTTCGAATTTCAGGCCACGTATACCGGAGAATCGTGATTCTCAGCAAAAATATCTTAGCTGCAACGACGGCGTCCGTTTCTTTGGATCCGCACACACACTTGAAACGATACATATACATACGTACGCGATAAAATTGACTTGACGATGGCAGAAAACACTCGCTCTACTCTCTCACTCTCTCTCTTTATATATATGATCTCTTCTCTCGGCTACTCGCTCGACATCGGTTTTATTCTTTGGTTTTATTCCTCCGCCATTTGTTTATCGTCTTTCGGATTCGAGAAAGTCTCGCAACGAAACGATTCGACGCACGAACGCACGAAGAATCTATTCCCTTTTTCTCTTCTCCTTAAAGTTGGAAAACGTGTTCTCTTCTCTAGCGTTCGATGGAGTTCGTTCTTAACCCTTTCATCGTGGATGACGTAGATATACGTTCAAACTGACCCGCTAACCTTTTCGACGTGACGTCCGACGGAATTTCTATTCCGTCGTGCTACGATTTTCCAACTTTTCGTGAACGTACGTGTACGTGGATCGTAATGAAAGGGTTAAAAAGTTGGAGAATCATCGCCATTGATGGCCTCGTCTTCGTGACACGTCGTTACGGATGAAATCGATGTGTAACAGGTAATAATTGACAGTCTACAATTACACACTAATTAACGGCGTCGTAGAATCAACTTGGTCTCTGGTTCACGAATGTCCGATCACAAAGGACGTAATTGATCGATCGAGACAAAATTGAAACGAAGACGCCGAGTAAAATGCATTAATTACTACTGATATGTGCGCGATGTTTTTCTCAGATACAACAAAGATCGTCGAGGTATCTTTGTCGCGTTCCATCGAACGCATCGCGAGAAATTAAACAGTCTACTCTCTTCTTTACGATATAAAAAGTGATTCGCAACGAGCTCGCTCGAACCGAGGAAAATTGGAGACTTTCCCGATCGTTTACTCGCGAGAGAAAATTCAATTAGTTCTACGTAATGGAACAGAATTTTTCTTCGATTTAATTCGGTGATAAATCAAATAAAACATCAGCGTTAAATTCCTTGAATATCGAGTCAAAAAGTTTCGGATCTAATTAATATTATAAAAGAACGACATAACTCTAACGAAGTATTTACTAATATTTCTGAAAGCAACGAGTCAGAAATTGTTGGACTTAACTACGTAGCCTGCTCGTCTGCAAATACATAACGAGGCTGTTGATAACGTTTAATTGTCCTTCCGTATCTGATCGATAGAAAATAAAACTTACCGGCAGTGCATAAATTAGATCACGTTTAAGGAGGACTAGGATACAGAAAGACGGAAATTCGCTAGAAAATGAAACGATAAATCTTAGCTCCTTTCGCGAGAATTGTCGTCTGCCAATCGGTGCTCGTTTTATCGGTATTTTTTGCTCGTTCTGTGTCGTTATTTTGATATCGTCTATCCATTTTGTAAATCATTGTCGCGCGCTGTAAAAAATTGCTTTTGATTTTTGGCTGTTTGAGCTGGCTCACGCGAACGACGCTGGAACTATTTGTTCTTTTGCGCGAAAAACCGGCTATATTTCGAGTGAATATCCTGAAAGATAAAGGTAACAGAGGTTCTTCTAATAATAGGAAATATCGATCAAACATTATTTTAATTCTAGTCGGGCATCATTTTTATCCAGCATCGCTCATCGAACCGAAGGGGGTTTGAAAAGGGGGGTTGAACAGTTTCAAAGAGGTCTAATCGTGTAATTAGTTTCGTAACTATAAATCGTATACTCGTGATATTTAAGTTACAGTCATGCAAGAAAGTCTTCGTATGCTCAATATATTTATTTACTCAAAAAGACGCAAAGTAAGCTTTAAAAGTATTTTAGTAGAAAAATGACAAAGAGTGTAATAAGTTCCGCTGCAAAATCAGTACAGTCTACGTCGAAAAGATTAAAAGCAATTTCAGAGGAATGCCTAATTACTGTTAATGTTCGTTCGGATCAAAGTGGATTTTCATGGGGTGTACGAAAACAATCGTGATTGACTGTATCTTTTATTAAACAAAACTTCCCACTGCGTCGAATATTATGTATAATAAGAACATGTATGCAGTTCCATCGTTCTCTTTGCTACTCCGTAACTTCAAAGGGCAACTTTCAAAGATCACGTTTACGGCATTCAAAGAAATTATAATATAACGATGAAATAATTGACTAGAAATTACCGGCACTAATGTATCATCATGGTATTTAAGCAGCTATTGATATTAAAATTATTTTAAATAAAGTCGCAGATTCTTAATTTCGCATTCATCCTATCCACAAACATCGAATTCATATTAAACGAATGAGATTTGTGGTAAAAGTTGTTAACGTGGTTATAAATGAAAATGTAGGGCAACAATTATTCAAATATCACGGTATTGAAATATTAACGATAAAAAAGGGGAAAGAATCAGTTGAGCTACACTGTTTCCACTAGCGAAAAGGTTAAGGGTCTGTCGAATAGAGTGCCTAGGTTATAAGACGTTTAGGGCAAAGGGCAAGTTTCGTAAGTAGTCGATCGATTTAACGAAGCATCTCGTGTCTCGAAACAGAGAGAAGAGGATCAAAAAACGAATCGGTAAAACGCTACTCGTCTACGTTAATCACGAAGTCGATTACGAGGCACCCATTGCACTCGAAACTCTGCACTTCTCTCTCTCTATCTATCGTATTGTACTATATGTTTTAAAACTATTCTCGCCATCGAACACTCACTCATTGCGAGTGTTCTTCGATCTTAGTCGAACTCTTAATTTAGGCTGTCTTGTGTTCGTTTAATCCTTTGAGGACGAGAAGCTGACATGTTCGAACAAAACTTGGATTCTTACAAGAATTTTTACTTTGACAAAAGCAAATATATTTGGAGATTTTCATAATCTTCCAATCGATAAATTATAATTAAACGCCAAAAGTTAGAAAACAAGATGAAAAGGACGCGAAAATGTCAACTTTAAAATATAAAAAATGCTATTTAAACACAGTGTTCCGTCCTCAAAGGTTTAACTTCGTCGAACGAACACTTGTACGCGTGTACACGCGTACACGAAGGATGGATGAAATTAATCGAAAAGGGATGAAAGCCAGAAGGATTCCGACGACGCAAGGATGATCTAGCAAACGAACAATGACTAGTTGTGAACGAATTGGAGGAACAGGATGTTGCTAACGAACATTCTCTTTGTTGAACGGGGGATAATAGCTGCGAATTAAAAACTACGTCATCAAAAGTATTGTCCGTGAAGCAGAGATTGAAAGATAGGTCTTGGATCGCTGTTCATTGTACCGCTAAAAACGACCGATGCGACGTTTAAATTACGAACTGATGCGAGTGATCTCTATATAATATATAAAAAAGTAACGACAAACGTCACGAGGTTTGCTGTTCCTAAAAAATGGAAACGTCGGGGATAAAGGTAAAGATTATACGCCGATAATCATCAAATAATATGTAGCAACGTAGCACTACGCTTCTCGAGTCTCTTTTCTATATCGATTAGTATTATTTAGTCCGCGATAAACTCGATATGACAGGTTACTAAGTTTGGCCGCTTCTAGGTTTTCTTAGGTATACGTCTCTACCGCCTCTATTACGTTCTCATCACTTTCACGGGGTTATTTTTACTCTTAATTCAAATCACGTCGCAAAATCTTCTTTCTCTCTCGTTTCTTTATAAAACGTTAAAACGCCTTATCCTAATTGTTCGTCAACTAAAGCGATAATACAACATGGACCAATTAAAACGCTCAACTATAAAAGTATCGCACAATTTTCATACGCAATCTGACTGTTCAAGTGCTAGAGGAAAGGAACACGTTTGAAAGCTTTATGTTGTAAAAAATGATCTTCTATATTTAGAAATTATGAAAATTATCACGCTCTATAATATACTAAGAACAAATACGGCTAAGTATACAAGAATTATTTGGTCTGCTTTAGTTGGTTCACGTTGTATACTTAATAAATAGACCCTTTCTTCCCGGACTGAAAAACGCTACGACGAAGGACATTGCGAATCACTCTGATTCAAAGAGAATCAACGACAATGTCTCGGGAAGAATGCTACAATTGTACTCTAAGAATTTACAAAATTCCCGTGAATATTTGATTTTTATTAATATAACCAGCTTTTGCGACGTACCTTGAACAAAACCCCGTGAGTGACGAGGAGATCGTCAAGAGTATATCCAAAATCCTTGGTCCAGGCTTGGAATACTTTGCTGATCACTCAGAATTTCTACGTTGTCCCTATTCGACAGAAGACTACTTTTCTTCCCTGAGGAGAGCCTCTTCGGCCTCCTTCCGCCTCGCTTTTGCTTCCTTCTTTGCTCGTTTCTTCTCCTCTTTGGCTAACTTCTTCGCCTCTTTCTGTCTGGTTTTCTCAGCCTTCTCCTCCTCCTTTTGACGAGCCTTCTCAGCTTTCTCCCTCTCCTTTTCTCGTTCCTTTTCCTTCTTTGATTTCTGAATCTCCTGAACAACTGACAATTTTGGCGCCGACTGAGGCCTCTTCGACGCTGACCTTGCCGACGAAGAGGACGAGCTGTTCACGCCAGTCGAACCCCTGGGACTCGGTGATGTTTCTAACTGGGTCACGATTTTTTGAGCACAACTGTCCAACAGAAATTAGAATCAAACGTGAATCACGAGAAGGCCGAAGTCTCCTAGGATTTTCATATATTGTTATAAATTACCGTATCCTAGTGGATGCCTTTCCAGCGCGATAGTCCCTCTGGAACTCTTTGATCGGCGGCAACCTGCGTTCCCGATTTTCCCTCATAACTTCCTCCTCCTCGACGACCTGCTGAATGGGATCCTGGTATTCCTGATTGAAAGCGAATAAAAATTCGATATTAGCGAGTTTGATATTCGATGCTAATTCGATGAAAGGATCTTCCCTTCCAACAGACCTGAATCCTCATTTTCATGGATTGCGTCTGCGAGCGTCTCAATGTGGCACCGGAAGGTTGCCTCACCCTCGTAGGTTTGCCAAGGTTAGAACTTCCTGTGCTACTTGCAGAAGACGAACTCGAAGAAGATACGGAAGACACTCCTGCACGAACAATGTTGAAGTAACTTGGTGCATGAATAAATTATCGAGTTTGTATGGAAGGCTTACGAACCAGAAATAGAGGACGAGCCACTGGCCATGGAGTAGAGGGAAGCAGAAGCTGGGACATTTCCAGGAACCCATCTACCACCAGGTCCGGTCACACCGACTGACACTCCTGTCCCCATGTTGTACTCTGATGCGCTTTGCGGCAAGATGCAAGACTTTCCTGACATCGAGTACTGCAACAATCGTTTCAAGAACCTTGTACAATCGGTTCGAAGAAACTTCGGATCTTGTAGGACGACGTAGAAGTTTACTCCGATGAAATAGCCACACCGAAACTGGACCATTTATGGTCCGTTGTTATCGAGTTTTCATAGCTTTCGGATTTTCATTAAAGCGAACTCGAGCAAGCTGAGCGAATCATTCACGGGTCGTTTCTCTTTCATACAGCGAAAATTTTGCGGAATTAATTGCACCGAACGAAAAAGGAGCGTAAAAGGTAGCAGGATGCACGATATTTATTAAAATATCGTTCCGGAAGGAATGGTCATACCTACGTCGAGCAGGTATTGGAAAGGCGATAAGAGCTTTTTGAGTTCGCTCCAATTAATCACAATTTTACGCTTCTGTAATCGAATCAACGAATGCGAATAACGTGTTACCGTAACGAGTGTTGCCTGAATTTAAGGGGACGAGAGTTTTTGGAAATACACTCGTGACCGAGAACTCTTAAGATTATGTAATTTACAAAATATTTCAGATTTATAAATAATCGTTTTGTATTCAAGTCAGCTTTCGAAGATAAATAGAGCAATATTTAGACGAATCACTTACATCCCGCGGGATGAGGGTTTGCTTCAGACGTAGAATCTTGGCTCTGCATATGACACATCTCAGGGGTAAAACCCTCTGTGAGACAGCCATTTGTATCGTCTTCACGAAGCAACGTCTGCAACACCCCAACGACAAGAATAAAGTAGATATTCCTCAAGACTGACACTGGGAATCGATTCCAGAATACGTAGTTTGAACGTTTCATTCAATTTACCTGCAAACCACCCTGTGTCCACATGGAGCCGTTTGCATCGTGGCTCTGGCGTTCACGCAGATCACGCACTGCAAGAACAAACACATAATAATTGAAGAGAGATCCTCAACTACAGAAATCTATCACGACGACAGTTTCCTTAAGGAAGGATCAAGCCACAGGATAGGAGTATTCATTAACTCGTGTATTACCATTTTTTATCACCGAATTTATTCACTACAGACAACAATCCCTTAACCTGTTCTACAATGTTTCTATCTATCTTACATCTAGTTCCTATATCTACTTGTACGTTCATCCCATGCCTGCACCTCCACCTAAACAAAAAATATATGGTGTTCAGTCTCATCGACACCATCGATAAATTTTCGAGGTGAATTATTCGTCTGCGTACCCACGGATGCTCCCATGTTTGCTCCCATAGATGCTCCCACACCACCGCCGGCACCCCCTCCGCCGGATGGAGGTGGGGGT